CCTCGATCTTCAGGGCTTCACCGAGTCCCCACAGTATCTCCAAGGCATTCCGCTGCTCGTCGTTGTCCAGCTGGAACGCAGCAACGACAATACTAAACCCTAAACCCTAAACACGAGCGAAAACCGGGATGATATTCAATTTTGCGAACCCTAAACCCTAAACCCAAACCTAAACACCACTGATAATCATATTATTTAATTTCTCGTGCTGCCCCCCCTAAAACCCTAAACCCTAAACCCTAACCCTATATCCCACCTCCGTGATCAAAGAATCGGTGGCCAACCCTGTGGTTTCGAAATCAATTAGCATCACTCGCGGGGGACACGATCTGTCGTCAAATTCCTCGATCTTCAGGGCTTCACCGAGTCCCCACAGTATCTCCAAGGCATTCCGCTGCTCGTCGTTGTCCAGCTGGAACGCAGCAACGACGTCCGGAAAGGTCCGCGCATTGGGCGGCAAAAAAAAAGTCTGAGAGTGAACGCTGTTGGCTGCGGTCCAGTATCGTCGGCACATATGCTTTCCATCTCCATACTTTTGGAAAACAGGCCGCAAAATTCCCAATATGGCGGCTCGGAAACGCGTAAAACCGGAGCCATGGCGCTCGTAGAAACTTCGCATTTTTGCGACGTAGACACTATGATCAGCGGCGGCAGCAGACGAAGATGACGAAGGCGGAGAAGCTGCGGCAGCTGGGACCAATACCATGCCACCGACCTCAGAAAGCCCCATTTGGTTGTTACTCCGAGGCGCCGAGGGCGTCACAGGATTTCGCAGGCATGCCAGCACGATCGGCAAACTACACTCCTCAGAGCCTCGATGCCTCCACTTGGACATCGGAAAACGTCTACGCCTTTTTTGTACTGTATCCCAATGGGACATCAGGTATCCTCTATACCATTTTTGAGCAGAGCGATGTAATGGCACGCTATACAACTTAGGAAAAAGTCTAGCAACATTTCTTTAGCTTATAGATATCAGGATGGCTAATCAATGCGAAACAAGCACGGGAATACACGCAGAGGCCTCACATTCTTTACCTGATATCAGGCACGTGGCAACGTTGAAAAGATTCGCCCTGGTGGCTCCATGACAGGCGGCAAAAGTTGTTTCTGGAATTCGCCAATTAAACAATCCGCACGCCTGCAATCCCGACATTACGCTTGCGGCCATGGCTGATGGTGTGTTGTTTTTGTGCTATGGATAAACTCGAGCGAAGTTATGGACTCCACTCAGCCAGCTGCCTCTCCAGAAAATTCCATATAACAGCCGTCCTCTGATTCCCACGGTAATAATAACCATCAGCAAGCCACTGAAAGCCTGAGCCTGGTGGCACCTTCATACGTCGACTGGCTGAGGAGGGCCACACCAGTGACGGCAGTTCGATCGTCCCAGTTTTCGCGCAAAAGCGACTCCAGGTTATGCGCAGGCTCTTGCTCCAACTCGAGCACACGCTTCATCTCCCGCCTGAGCGACTGCGAGGCTGTGCCGTTCTGGAAATGCAACCGCACAGCGCCCCGGTAGCGTTCCAGTCGGTCCTTCATTGCCCGCCCCTTGATGTCCCCGCTCTGGAGCATCGGGCCCCCAGTCACCTGCTTCACGGTGTGCAAATGGTTCGAGTATAGGACGTCCGTGAGCCAGCACGTACGTTCTCCGCTTACTTGTCGAGCGTCTTGACTTCGGTAACCGAAACCCATTTGATGCGCCCCGGGTGGGAAAAACGGACTCCCTAAAGAATCGTAAATCTGATCGCAGTCGCCTGCAACGTGCAGCGGAATCGCGAGACAGTTGACCTCTTGTTGGCCCACATCGCAATCGGCGACGGACGCGACGAGGCTCACCGCGTCCCACTCGATCCGGTAATTAATAGGTAGGCGCCAACTCCTCTAGGTGCATCCTGTTCTCGATGCTGATGGTCAAAGCACTCAAATCCTCGTGGAGTCTGGAAGACTCCCACTCCCGACGCCAGTCAACGAGTGGCTGCCTCCCTCCTTTCATATCAGCAAAAAGAGCGTAGTCACTAAGTGATGTCATCGAGGGCGCACCAAATGCCTGACTTCGTCAACGTTAGCTGTTCCTTGCGGTCTTCTCCAGGAGGCACCAAAATACTGCTTGCGAATCCGAAAAAAAGCGGAAGACGTGGGTGGCTGTTCCATTTTCTCGTGACTTCCTGAATGAACTCCGGCACTGGAGTGCCTTCAGGCACAGCAACGCCCAGGCTGTTAGTCAAACCGCACACCAGGGAGGCTGAGACTTGAGTAGCACTGACTAGTTATACACTGACGCCGTCGAGCTATACACTGACGCAGTCGAGTTATACACTGACGCAGTCGAGTTATACACTGACGCAGTCGAGTTATACACTGACGCAGTCGAGCTATAGCACTGCGCCGAACATGACCGGCGAAACGTTCGTCCGCTTTTGTATGTTCCAGATGTGGCCGGGCACTCGTCGAGCCGCGAACTGATAGCAGTCAACATCCCAGGCCTTCGCTGTCATCCGCCCGCCCCCGCCAATAGTTTGCGGGTCCCGCATATTTTCCGGCACGTTCCTGCCCGGTTGCGATGCATCCGAAGGGCGCCCGGAGTCACCAGGTGGGCGATCCATTGGCAGGCAGCTGCTCGACGATGACGAACCAGAAGCGCCAGCGCGAACCCTTGCCGGCTCCTCTGCCGTCTTTCTGCCAACCATGACACTGCGCCCAGGCGAGCCACTCACTTCCGCGAGCATGTCGGCCCCAATGGGTTCGGTTCGCGATCTCTTGGCCGGTGGCGACTCGGTGCCCAGGGAAGTGACTGCAGCTGCTTGAGTCGCGGCGGCAGGTGTGAGAGAAAACCGGTGGGCATGGTTCTCGGCCTTTATAGCGTCCCGCATCCGCAAACTCTGCTCGTCTTTCGTACCCGGACTATCGAAGTAACCCCGTACGGTCTTGCACTTGTCTCCAGGAGGATCCGAAAACGCAACCCACTGAATAAAACGGCACATAAACGCTTTCCATCCTTCGGACGTCTCGAGCTTCAGAAAGGCACTGCTTGACTCGTGTTCCTGGAGTTTGATGCTAGTGGAAGACTTGACGTTATTGCTAGCGTTGACGCTAGTGGGTAGCTGAATGGCGTCCGTTGCTGGCGCGAAGTCTCTAACAAAAACCAGCTGCCACCAGGGCCAGATCTAAAACTCGCGAAGTAATCATAAGCGACGACTTAGTGCCTTCGCATGTTGGAACGGTTTTGCCTCCACGTATTTCGTGTGCAAGCTGAAGTCACGATACAAGATGATGGCACCCCCTCTGCTGCAGACTTCGAGGAATTCTGAGAGGCCTTTGCCGTCGCAGCCGAGGTCTGCTGAGTTTGAAATTGGACGAGCTAGCACTTTGAGAGGATTTAGATGACTGCTCGCGTTATCGAGGGACCGGCTGAGCAAAAAGGCGCGGCAGTTGCCTACGCATTGTCCTTGGATCAGGACGGGACCTTCCGCAGGAAAAGGGTGACGGTGGCTCCACCAACTTCATTCGGGACCCCCAGGCGAAGCGTTTCCCCAACAAAAAGCTCGAAAAAGTTGTGGTCAACCAGGGCCCTCGCTCAAGAACACCATTGCCAGTCGCGCATACGACGACGTCGGGACACTCTCGCTCCTCCACCTTGTCACTCCAGAACTTCACAGCCTGTGGCTTTACGTTGTTTGTATTCAACGCTGTTGGTATTCAAGTAGATTGCCTCCAGATGGAGCCGCGGACCACAAATAGACTGCCCCCAGATGGAGCCGCGGACTGCAAATTTTTAGACTCTCAGACTGTCAGACATGCGAAATATCTAAAAATAAGCACGACGCCCCTGCTCCGCCGCCACGGCCTGGGTCTTTTTTTTTGTCTCCTTAGACTGCGGCGGCGGCTCACCCTCCTGCGGCTTCGGCGCCCGGGGAGCCTTCAGCGCTTTGGCCTTGTCCTTTGCGGGGCTTTTGCTCTTGTCCATCAACTGCCTTTCCGTGAATTCGAGGCCCAGCGCCTGGCAGTGGTTCCGCAGCCTCTCGACTGCCTCGCGGCTTCCCCCGCCGAGGTCAGCCGGCAAATCGGCGGGCCACTTTGCCCGCGAAGACATTCCGACGAGGTAGAAGGAGAAGACGCAGACGATGCCACTGCTTGCGACTGAGTGGCAGTACTTGTAGTACTGACGTAAGCACGCGCCCAGGTCGGGAAGCCAGTCACTTGCTCCAAAGCAAAATAATATTTAGCGGGTAGCTTCAACGCCTCGCCTGTCCCCGTGCAGCATGTTGAGTCACCTGCTCACTCGGCTGATGTCATCCTTTTTAGACGATGAGGGATACCAACGACATTGCGCCTTGAATCTGTTTCCGTCGTCGCATAGGGATGCCCTAGCCCCTTCTGCGTCTATTCTTGCTAGCGCTGCAGTAGACTGGTTGCCGCTCCACTTTGTAGCGCCGTCCCTGTCCGTCACGGATGTAAGATCACGTTTGTTAAAGTTCGTTGCTTTTTTACTTCTGGTTTTTGTTCGGCTATTCAATAAGAGACATCGGCTAGGCTAGGTAGGGGCTGCGGCTTACAACCTTCCTCACTCCTACAGCTCGGCCTCATCTCACTCCTCTCTACGTCTCCAGGATGCAACTCCATTGTCTTTGATAGAGGCAAAAGGAACACGATTAGACGGGGAAGATGTACATCGTTATCCGTAGTTCTAAAGAGAGGCCGCGCATGGACTTCATTCTGATGGCTCTCGTGCCTAGTTTGGGCTTCACTTTCATCAAAGCAAGTTGCCAGATAGAAAGAGAAAAACACGCACTCAGTCAGTGACTCATAGTAGTAGTAAAAATCAATCGACCGAGTACCTTCATGGAGGAAGTCGCGTGAAGTGTGGCATTAATCTGCTACTGAGTGAGAATCTCTTCGCCCTTTTCCACTGGCTCCCTCCCCGCGGTCCAAATAAGCCCGCTTGCCTCCATGGTTTCCTTCACTGGCTGAAGGTGTTCGATTAGAGCAGCCCACACTCACACAATTTGAATTTTTAGACTCTTCTCATACTAGCAGAATACTAAAACCCTGACTAGTCGAGAGAAGACAAGCCGAGAAAGAGACCTGCTCCATAGGGCCAAAATTGTGGACCACTGGGCCGCTTTTTTAGCCCTACGGAACAAGCCGAGAGGCGGACTTGCCCCATAAGGCCAAAACCCTGGACCACTGGCCCGGAATTTTGACCCCATGGAACAAGCCGAGAGGCGGACTTGCTCCACAGGGCCAAAATTCTGGACCACTGGTCCGGAATTTTGGCCCTATGGAGCAAGCCCGTGCCAAATTCTGGACCACTGGTCCGGAATTTTGACCCCATGGAACAAGCCGAGAGACGGACTTGCTCCATAGGGCCAAAATTCTGGACCACTTGTCCGGAATTTTGGCCCTATGGAGCAAGTCCGTGCCAAATTCTGGGCCACTGGTCCGGAATTTTGACCCCATGGAACAAGGCGAGCGACGGACCTGCCCAGGGCCGCCGCACCTCTCAGGCAACTCGTCTAGCGGATTGGCTGGCAACAGATACGCGAACTCGGCGAACTCCTCCAGCAGAATGGCCCTCCTCTTGTTTCCTTCAGCGTGGTCCCTCGGCACACGCAACAGCTGGCCTAGCGTCTGCCGTACTATGAGTCCGCAACAAGACAAGAGGGCCGGAGAGCTACTAGACGAAGAGCTACTACACGCAGAGCTACTAGGCGAAGAGCTACTAGACGAAGAGCTACTAGACGAAGAGCTACTAGGCGAAGAGCTACTAGGCGAGCCTGCTTATTTATCGCCTCGAGGGTCTCCGCCTCCGCTTCCGCGTCCTTTCTCCACCTGTGCGCATGGTCCGCCCTGACTGTGGCCCCGGCGCAGACGGTGGCCCCGGCGCACCCTGCGGCTACGGCGCACCCTGCGGCTCCGGCGCATCCTCCGCCCCCGGCGCATCCTCCGCCTCCGGCTCACCCTTCGGCTTCGGCGCTGCCTGCAACCCCCGCGCAGCCTTCAGCGCCTTGGCTCTGTCTTTGGCGAGGCTCTTGCCCCTATCGTGGACCTGCTGGCGCGCGAAGTCCACCCCGAGCGCCTGGCAGTGCTTCGCCAGCCTCTCGACTGCCTCGCGGCTTCCCCCGCCGAGGCCAGCCGGCAAATCGGCGGGCCACTTGGCCCTCGAAGATGATCCCGCTGACATTTTCGACGTCTTCAAGATTGACGCCAAGCGATTGCGCCCGGGTTTTGACTAGAAAAGGCGCAGGCGTGGTCTTGCTGTGGTTGAAATTATCCCGGTACTTTTTGGAGACTCGCCGGCGCTGGTCAGTTGGACGAGGCAGAAGGAGAAGACGCCGGCGACGCTACTACTCGAGGACCTACTACCAAAGGAGAAGAAGCGGCAGCACCTGTAGACCCGACGCAAGCACGCGCCCGGCCAGGAAAGCCAGCCACTTGCTCCAAAGGAAAGCGCCCACTCAATTGATCGCAGAAGGCTCTGGATGTTACCCAGCAACACCACACCAAACACCAACAGGGACAGGCCTGCCAGGGGCGAGAAATCTGAAGACGGCAAAGTGTCAAGTTTTGGCGTTTGGTCCTCACAGTCGTCAGCCCAAACCCTCCCACCAATAAACCCGCAAGAAAACCCGGGCAAACCGCGGCAACGATCTGGCGCTCCGATTTGGCGCCAGAAAGCGCAGAGCAATAAAACCAGGCGGCGGCCTTTCCGTACTCGGTAAGTTTTTCCGGGTCACGAGCGCACAGCGCCACCAGGTGCAGGCCCGCACTGGGCATATCCTTCGGCCCCGGGAAGTCAGTGCGCCCCCGTAGCCACTCGAAAGCGCTGCTGTAGGTCGTCGCTTTCTTTTCGTTCCTAGCTTTTATCTGTGCGCTTCCTGTGCACTTCAGTAGTAAGTCTCACGCTTCTCTTTTTTACTTCTTTCGCTTCTCAGTTCTTTGCTTTACGGTTTACCCTAGAATTTCAGTTGGGAATATTTATCGCGTCAATGTAGCTAGTTCGTGGCGCGCAAGCGCAAGCGTTTTAGCAACTTTTGCGAGAGCTCGGCGAGCCTCAAACCCTGTCGGAAAGTTTGAAAACAAGGCGGCAAAATCAGTGACACGACTGAGCCACGTGCGACGCATAGACCAGGCCTCGCAATTCTCTACTTGAAATTACCAAGCAGCAAGCGACAGCACCCCCGCAAGTTGCCTCGTGCTCGTCTTTTACATCAGCGCCAGGCGTCGATATGAGTTCACGACCAAAGCGGCGAACGCGATCATTCTTACGCGTCTGCCCCTGAGCATTCATTTTAGTTTCGGTCTTCGCTCCGGGTAGGCTTCCCGACTCTTCCAGCGAGTTGCTTCCAGCCGAGCGAGGTTTCATGCTAATGCCCCGTCGGCAGTCTATCATCACTCAAGTTTGCGATCGATTGGCCTAGTTTTTGACTTTTAGACCACGACGCCCCGCCGATTTGCCTTCATGTAGGCACTGTAAGGATCTCCCGGCCCGTTATCAGGTCCCACCCTCAGTCATTTGCAGGCCACCTCAGTGGACTCGCGGGCGCATCCCCAGCCCTCTCCTACCAAAAGTCTCAACGTTCTCAGGAACGTTCTTCGCAAGAGCGGCGACCCCGCTCACCTCTTACACCCGTCACCTTTCACCGAGTATAAGGATGGCGCGCTTTCGTAGAATGCTAGGACTAGGGCCGCTGATGGGGTGTCGTCTTTCACATCGCGCGGGATGTACATTACGCGGGCCACGCCCCGTAGAACGGAGCCACGAAGATGCTGAAAAGTGGAATGCGTATGACTGCGCCGCCAAGTCAGCTCCATCGTGCCCGAGGCACAGAGACCAGTGGCGACAGCTGGCCAATCAAAGAGGATAGGAGAAGCCAGCGCCCAGAGATGAGAGCGAGCTTGCGGGCGTGTCTGATATTCACACAGATAAGAGCGACAGCGCGGCCACTGTAGTTTCGGAGTCTGACAAGACCAAACCGAAGAAAACGGCAAAAAGGGCAAAGAAGAAGAGCGGCTCGGAGTGGAGCAAAAAGGCAGTAGTAGGAGAGTGCCACCTAGGCCGGATATCACTGAAGCAGCAAACTCCGCAGCTGGGTGCCCTTTCGAAGACCGCCAGGCGCTGACGCTGAAGAGGGTCACGAGGCACCCTCGAGGCGCCTTGGCTGTAGGTGTTGAATGGACTCCAACAAGCTGGAAAGCGCACAAGCCCAACAACGGGCCGCCGTGGACTCAGGGAGCCCCCCCCCAACGTAAGCGGTGAACCAGTCTACGAGCAAGCCAACCACGGGAATGCTGCCGACGCACTAAGGAGTCTGCGTGGCTTGGAGGTCCAAGCGACAGACGATCGCGGCACTTTCTACGCCTCACGCAGAAACGGCGGCAAAGTGTGAATCGATCCCGTGTGCGCAATTAGTTGCTTTTGTTGATATTGTGCCGGGCACAGAGTGCAAGAACGCGGGCTATGCCAATACTCCTCACGCATGGGCTGACAACTAACCAGCACTAGACCAAGCGCCACAAGAGTAGCGCGCAGGAAGTAAACACTACCGAAGCGGAATGCGCTTTGTGTGCGATCGGGCTGATCGATGTCGCCACTGCCCCACAGGGTTGACGAGGGCAGATGGCCCCACGAATCCAGATTCTTCGGAAACTCTATAGCTAGTGTTATATGGTGGAGAGAAAACCAATAGCATAGACCCCATTTTACACGTCCCAAGCTCACACTTTTCAGATTCGCGGCGACCGGGGGAGCCGTCGGCGAAGAGCACAAAAACAAAGCGGGTTCAGTTCCATCCCGTGGCGACATGGATTACCTGGACAAAAGAGAAGCCAGAAGAGAAGGAAAAGAAGAAGAAGAGACTAGTAGCCAAGACTACTAGAAGAAGAAAAGCCGAATAGCTCAGACTAGTCTTAAAAGTTACACTTTGCAGCTAGTTTTCTTTTGCAGCTGCATCGTGCAAATAGATAAGCGCTCCGCGTATTGCATTAGGTTGGTAAAGTTTCACTTCCCAACCCCCAACAAATTCCGGTCGCTTAGTCCCCCTAGTGGTACTCAGTTTTTTCTTGCATATAGTAGACCACCTAAAAAGTTCGTCGGAGACATTTCGGGGGGAGAATGTTACGCAAGAAGGTCAACCAAATCGCTCGAGCCGTTCGGTGTTCCGCATTCCCTGAGCTGAGTCGTTTGGTTCGCTCCTCTTCTTGGTCTGTTGGTTCTCCGCTTGTGTTTGTCTTTCTCTCCCGGTGATGCTCTGACTGAATAGAAAGATGAGAAGGCCCAAGGCTTTGAAATCAATCACGCGACCGGGATCCCTATGGCGTTTCGCCTATGATGATCGATGGCGGATAGGCTTTCGCCATAAGGATACGCACACAATGAACACGCATGCTATTCAGGTCGTGGATGTTACCACGGTAAAACCACCGCCAGAACACTACAGGGACTAGCCTGCCAGGGGCTTAATATCTGGAAGGCTTGAGGCCCTTACGATTTCTGTTAAACTTTGCTTTTGCTCATGTTGCCTTATAGGCTCTAGTAGAAAGGTTTTGCGAAAAACGCCTGCTCTGGTTGGACATGCGAGCGGGTGCTGCTGGCACACAATCGGAATACTTAAATTGAAGCATACAACATCAGATAAACTCTCATCAGCGCAACTCTCTTTTCTTTCGCAATGTGGTTGTGGAATGGGAACTGCGTGTCGTCCTCTCCCTTGGTCTGGTTGCCGGGCCTAGGCCATGACCATTTAATGATTGCTAGGCAAGTCAATCTATCAACATTGTAAGTGATTTTTTTCTGAGAAGGTCGCACGTTGGAATCAACGATGAGAAATTCTTGAGATTCGCGATTCTTTTTCAAAACATTGACTGCACGGACTTTTATTCTTTTGTTCGGAATCGCAAGCTTGCGCCACATGTTCGAATTCGCATGGTCAAAAACTCAAAACAAAAACTCTCAAATAAAAATACCTTCTGTGCCAACACAAGCAGAGACTCGCTCGAAAAAAAATAAATTAAAATCCACTCCCTTTTCCCATACTGTCCATACTTAAGTATAGAGGATACGTTTTTGCTAAGATCTGCGGGGACTCGAACCCCTACCAGGAGGGTTAGGGCTTGGTGTATTGTGGTCCATCCGCCAGGTGGATATTGATATTTTGAACGAGTTGCGGCCGTCGAACTCGAAAATGAGGCATAAATATATAAATACCTTCCGCTTTCAAAATGAGACACCACGATTACCTTTCATCTAAAGTAATTCTCAATCCGAATCAAAGCTGCCCGCCCATGAGTGCGTCTTCGCGTGGAGAGCCATGGGCAGATCATTTATTTGGAATACTATAGACACGTCAAAATCAAAATCGATCCATAAACCAAAGATTATAATAAATGAACAAATAAATAATATTCTAACTTTTCGGAAACATATGTTGTCACCTTTCTCGCCTCTTTTTGTTTACTTCGTCCTCTATTCTGGGACTCCCTCAAAATCTCAAAAACTCTCAAGTGTCTTTTCTCATTCCCCTTTTTTGAACACCACCTTTGATTTTCCTTTTTAAAAGATAGAAGAATAAAAATAGATAGAAGAGTCTATAAATTTACGAAAGAATTTATGAAGCGCACTAATGCTTCTGATGTCAACAATGCCTGCCTCCTGCATAGCTGTTTTTGGTTTTTGTAGGGGTGAGGATTATGAATCATAGTTCCTACCTCTGTGGGTATTTTGCATTTACATAAGAAGCTTAAATAGAAGAGTTAAGGTATTTATAATATATAGAACAGGAAACAATATAAGGAAACGATTACTGTTCACCTGTGGGCGGTCTTTCCTGTAGCATGAAGCATCGCAATATCTTTTTCGGCAGCCTAAGTTCTTACGATTTCAATCACCACGAGAAAACGAACAATCTAAGAAGATAATGACTATCGTATGTTAAACTCGGTCATTTAATATTAATCATCATAATATCACTTTCTATTATCATTTTTCCTTATCATTTTTCATTTGTTATGATTTTATTTGTCGGAAGCGTCACACTCATAGAACGCCTAAGGCCCGTCAAACCAAAAAAAAAAAACGAGTGCAAACAATGAAGTAGGCCTGCATTTTTGACAACGACTACGACACATCGATGAACATGAATAAGCAATGAAATGGTTCCGCAAATCTTCCAATTACGAGATTACACACCCTTCCTCGGAAGACTCATCCTTATCACAAGACTCCGACTCATCAATTACCAAGGCGCTCTTGATTTCCTCTATTTTCGTCTTCATGGAATCGACGGATGAGAAGCCGAGAGGAGGTTTGGTCTTCCCCACTGCGATGTAGATTTCGAGCATTAATATCAGAATTTGGTAGTCGTATTGCAGGTTGGTCGACTTCTCTCCAATGTACGCTTTTCGCAACTCCAGAAGACGCATCAAGCCTTCCAGAGCGCCATCCTTCTCTAGAAAATCACAGTAGCTCTCAAGGTCCCAACGACATTGGAGCCTCATGCTCTGATGGTATCGCCAGCCACCCACCCCACTGAGAAAATCGAGAACAAGCGTCTCCTTCCATGGCAGGGCTTTCCACTCGCGAAGGTTTTCCAGGTCAGATTGCGCCAGTGCATCCCGCACTTTTGCGAACATGCCCAACGGAACGCCCATGTCAGAGTGATGTGCCCTGTAGAGCTTTCCGAAGTCCGTATTCTCTCCATTGCATTTCATTTCCATGAAATCTTTCTCGAAGGCGAGCACAGCCTGCTCGTCATGGGTTCCCATAGCGGTGGCACCAGCCGCGGCCAATTCGCGCGTGCACCGGGCGCACTCGCAAGGCCCTCCCCAACCCACCTGCGGTTGCGGTATGTATTTGTATTTTCAGCACAAATATGACGTTGAAAATACTTAAGCGAGAGGAGAAGAACGTGTAAAATCTTCTTGGCCGACTTGGCATGCTTGACCGTTGTCACCTTCTCGCATACCCGAGCAGCTCATAGAGTCATCATCTTCACCATTGTTCAATGACGGAGAAGACGGGAACGAATACTTACTCCCAAATATCCACAAGAATTGAAATTCACACTCAATCATAATTTTAATGATCAAGTCTAATCGTAAACGTAATCACCATTGAAAAATATACCTCGATCACTTTCTGGCGGAAGAGCACTGGCTTGTCCAAATACTGGAGGCCCAGATACGGAATGCAAATTTCTTCCCCGATCTCAATGTCTCGAGTCGCGACAACCGTGAGACCAAAAGCACCGTGGACCTCCGCGTTCGGCGCGCAGGAATGGTTGTAAAAACTGCCGAAATGATGCACGCCATCATCGTGCGCGCACAATTTCGCGCATGCCAGCGCCCGCACCACTTCCTTAAGCTCCTTCTCTGTGCCCATCTCACTCTCGTGCCCCGCGCGTGCATAAGCCTGACGCACCTTGCCCTCCAACACAGATAACGACTGCACCGTTTTCGTCGGAATTTCGCAGAAGCTGCGCGGAAATAGACCAGTTATCTTCTTGATGCTCTCAGGTGTCACAGATTGGAGGTCAGTCTGGTAATCGAGAGATTCGCGCTGCACGGTAGCGCCTCTCCATGGGACGACGGCCCGTTCCCGGCTCAGCCGCGTGCCCGCGTGAATCGCTACGGATGTGCGGACATTGAAGCCGCTACCCGCTTTCTCGACGTAGAGACCGTGGTGAAACGCACTGCAGAACGGCGATGTTTTGGAGATGAGCTCGCACAGATCAGCACGCACGGTCTCGCCCGTCAGCAAACCTTCAGCAAAACTTTCCGCGACCCATACGTAGGCTTCGGATGCACGTTCAAGACAAGCAAGACAACGTACAACATTGGTCCAGGTCTTCGAATCCGTCCTGTCCCGCGCGTATGCTGTGCGGGCATGTTCAAGAGCACGCTCGTACTCGGCGAGATTCAGGGCGGCCGCGGCAGCGCTCGATGCGGATACAACGCAGGAAGCATCGGACGTCATCGCTCTCTCGTAGAAGGACAAAGCAGATTCAAAATCATTTGCCTTGGATGCCTCGCTGCCTAATTGCAGCAACGTGTCAACGCTTTCGCCATTCTCCACGCGCGTTGTGTCGAGGCTAATTTTTTGCTTCTTGCAAGGGCTAGCTGTGGCTTGCTCCGACATTTTGGCTTCGGACACAGATTTATAAAGAAAGACATAAAAGAAAACAAAACGAAACTCCTCTCGTGAACTTACCCCGTTTAAAGCAAATACTTCAGACTGACGGATTGCGAGCGCTAGATTCCTCAGTTGATATATTATCGCTTGATCTTCGTTGCTAGATCGCTAAGAAGTCGGAAAGGACAAACGCAGTGCGGTAGTTTAGTGGTCTCTCGGTGTTGTCTCTCAAGGAACCGACTACAAGGGCAGCCCGGGGCATTCGTAGCAGCGGGCAGGAGAACAGAAAACGGGCCGGATATTTTGTAACTGTAAAAAGTTACTAGTGCAGCTTTTTCAGCTAAGCTTATGCAGGTTCGACCGAAGTCGTTCAGGTTCGTACTTGTTTCCCTGTCGGGTTGTTTTGGTCTTGAGGGGGAAGGCGTGAAAGTTATGCAAGTAAAAATAGGCCAATACTTTATACCAGTAACACCATAGAAGTCAGGAAATTCATCGAGATGCATCAATTCATTTTTTCACGATTTTAAACAGCACCAAGAACAAGAAAAAGCAGAGGAGTCCAATACTTTTCGAAAGAGTGCCGGGGCGTGATCATCAATTTTTTATTTGGATGGAAACACGAGCGAAAACCAGAAACATTCAGACTTTTATTTTGAACATTAAAGAGCACCAGGGGCATGATCGTCATCAAGATATTTTTGAGCTTCTAACCTTTACCATAGTAGTACCATCGTCGGGAGGCTTTTAAGATTGTAACTTTTTAGAACTTAAGGCATTGAGAACGTGGAAGGATCGGACTGGAAGCGAGACAGGACTTAGATCGCGAGACTCTATTACGTGCCCCATGCCTGTCGAGCTTCCAACCACGAACACAACCCGAAATAACTACTACAACGGCCATAGATAAAAATAGGATGCATATGAAGGCAAAAATAGACAACGAGAGGACGAGAGCGATCGATTTATAAATATGCAGGAGAATGGTGCAAGTGAAGCTAAGTTATATCGAATAAAAGACGGAAGAACGGAGATAAAAGCAACTCGATGCATATAAATGGGACGAGATAAATAGAGCGAATACGTAATCTAATGCCCCTGGTGCTATAGATAATGAACAAAGTTTATACATCCCCAAAATCCGGCCCATCCTGATCCTGATCTTCCGCAGGAGTGCCTTTTTCTTCTGCTGCTTCTTTTTCCTCTTCTCCTCCTTGCTCTCCTTGCTGCTGTGCGGCTGGTGGCTGTGCGGCTGTGGTGGTAGTGGCCCCCTTCCTTTGCCCACCGGCTTCCCTTCCTTTCCTTTGCCTTTGTCTCCCTTGTCGCCTAGCTTACCCCTGTCGCCTTTGGCTGCTGCGTCCTTGCCGCTGTCTCCTTTGGTTGCGTCCGGCTTACCCTTGCCACCCTTGGCTTTGCTGTTGCTCTTGTCACCTTTGGCGTTTTTCCTCTTGTCGTTCCCCTTCTTGACTTCCTTGACGCTGCTACTGCTGCTGTGGTCTGGTTCCTGGTAAGGGTGCCAGCGTCGGTTCTGACCATAGAACGGGCTAGGCGGCAAGGTGGCCGCGGTCTTGTTCTCTTCACGAGGCAGATCGCGCCCGCCTGTTATCCGTAAGAGCATACGATGGAAGAACATTGCCCAGCCACCCTCTTTGTGGACGAGAGCACCATAGTCCCAGAGTAACGTCTTCACGGTGCCAGCAGCTTCGCGGTGGTAGTGGTCAGGTGCTGAATTGATATTCGCATCGTGCCAGGCTGTCCACACCGTTTCGACCTGAGCGACGTGACAGGCAATAGGGAGACCATAGGCCTGCGCAAGTTGAGTCTCCGTCGTCACAGCCCTGAGGCGTCGGATCTGCTGAGCGGCGACGTCGTTAAAGATCTCCGCCTTTACTGTTGCCGACTCTGGAGGGTTGGATACGGAGGACGCACCGCAGAGCAAACAGATCCTCGCTCTGCGATGGCAGTCATCGACTGAACCCATTCGGGGCCACTTCTGTGAGTTTGGGCCGGGGGAGCGAGAGAACTAGAAGCCGGCACGTTGTTGAGTGTCGTTTTTGTATCTTTATCCTAAGTATAGTCTAGTATATGTGACGTGGTAGAATAATTAGTGGTAAGGGTGTGCAAAATATCCGGCGGGAGAGCACAAGTTTGAACACGTGTCGATAGTCAGATGAAGAACGCAGGCTACTAGGGTAAAAAGGGAGGGAATGACACACGGAGACCTGTCTAAGACTTTGGAGAGAGACGAGCCCACACAAGCACCAGTGGCACCATATGCGCGCGACGGAAATCTAAGCTGAAACATAGCCCAAAAGACTAGCCGACCATCCTAAAAGAAATCAAGATCCAGAAGATAGCGGCGTCGGTATGGGGATTCGCATTCTCCTGAAGATCATCAGAACCACCTAGAAACGAAAAGAAACTGGCTACCAAGGTCAGGTAAGTACTTACGAACAACGACACGAGCAGAGACCTTCAGAGGCTCAGGCTTGACACATGCAGATATGAGACGAAATGAAGCGACGTCGCCAAACCTAGCAGGCACCGCCCACCTATATAGAGTCTAAAGTGTCAGAGTATAGGCTTCTGATCCAGTCTAGGAATCGGACAACCGTCACGAGGGTGATTGAAATGAATGAACGATAGTAGGCCCCGCAGAGCATTGACATCAGGTAGCTCTACCGGTTACTTACACGAAGACAAGTCAAAATAATTTCAGAGATATTCGAACTTCCTTCCAGAGATAACATAACTGAACTTACTTCCAGAGCAGTTCTAACCTCTGCGGCGTCATGTTAAAGGTGTCCCCTTACGTCATCCAAGAGACCTTCGCGGCAAACATTCTTGGGCGACGTTTCTGGGCGTCTTTCTTTGGCTGATTTTCTAAAGCTTGCCCCAGATTCGCAAGGCCTGCGCGATGGGCGCCCGCCGCTCCCTGCAAAGAAAGGGACTGGCGCGCCCGCGCTGCCGCGGTTGCGTTGGGACATGCCCACCACCTCCCAAAACGGGCGCGGCGCGAGTCGTTTCACCCGAGTCGCCGCGAATGGTTACCCGCGTGGCGCTTTGTCCGTGCTCCCAACTTCCCACAAAGGGCGCACCTATTCAAAAGGGAATCGCCGCAAATAATTTACGAACACACTTGAGGCCGCTGCACTGCCGACAGGCCGCCGCGTGGCGCCGCGTGGCGCCTCGCGCTCGCGCGTATCTCCCAAGCTGGTGGAGTCTTGACCCCCGCGCCCCCCGTGAATCAACACCGGGGAGAACAAACGAGGCCAGGGACACGACGGCCCGACACCTTTCCGCCCCCCTGCCCGATTCACGGGGGGCGCGGGGGTCGCCTCCGGATCCGCGCTTCGCTTGCTCAGCGCGCAGAACTGCATCGCCACCGGCGCCGCAACTCCGCGGCCGCCTGTCCCTCGTCGTTCCGTGGGGTCCGGGAGCGCCTGCCCCGGCACCGCGTGCCAGGCGGTGCGCCACCGCAAGCCGGCCTCGGGTTCTTTAGGTTTTTTAGATTTCAGCCCCCTAAGCCCCCCCCCACCCGAAGGTCGCCAAAAAGGCTCCCCCTTTTTCCAAAAAAAGGCTTTCTAAAAAGGCTTTCTAAGCCCTTTTTATAATAAATCAAAAATTAAATTAAGCCTTTTTAAAAAAGGCCTTAGAAAGCCTCTTATGCGGCTTCGTTTTTCCTTTTTTTCTTGCTCTTTTTTTTTCTTTTTTTTCGGGGGCACTGTGTTCCCTGGCTGCGGAGCGGAATTCGGGCTGCGCCAGGAAGCTTTCGCGCCGCGGTCTTCAAGGGCTAAACCCTGTAGCAGAACCCTGGGAGCGCGCTGTAGCGGAGCGGGCCGCCCTCGGAAGCGACAGAGAGGGCCCGAAACTGCCCGCGGCGCCTTCGTGGTCATCTTATGAGCGCAGAACACATGCCCGCGGCAATGACTTTTGGGCGATGTAGGGCCGAAACACACCAGAAGAGAAAGGCCTTCCCTCGTCATGTTATAGAGGTAACCCCCCTTCACCTTCCAAAAGTCATCAGCTAAGAGGGCGCCAGTGGCACAAGGAAGACCGCGGGCTTCGTCGGCGGTGGCAGCCCGGAGTAGTTCTTTAAGAAGCTGCGCACTGACCTCCGGACAACGTCGCAGATTGTTCCACCGGGGATAAGCGATCTGCTGCCAGACTCCAGGCCAGACACTGACGCCAAGACACACCCGAACAGGAACGAGGGCGAGGCCCCCAGCTTTGACGGCGCACCATGTACCGAAGTCACGCGGGGGCGGTATGCTGGGAAAACATCGAGAGGCGTCTGAACTGCCGAACGCCTTGGCGCGAGGATCGCGAAGCAATCCGCGGAGTTCAGGTAGGAGAGAGGTAGGGGCAGCAACATCAGTTAGCATCTGGCTTAATCGTTGGAACCCCACGACACCACGCCCGGAGTGGGGTCCAAATCGCGGCGCACGAGAAGCGTCATCGAGGCACTTGATAACACCATCCCACATAGCGTCGCAACGGAGGGGGATACACTTTAAAGAAGCTTTCTTTTTCAATGAGAAGCGTCCGCCCATGAGCTCGCTCCGATAGCCCCACGAGAAGAACTCATCGCAGAACTGCGCGAGCATGTCCGGAGCCTCTTACGCAGTTCGCGTCCCGCATGGTATGAACTGCGTGCGCAGTTTTTCGCCTTATTTCAGAATATTCACCCGAATACTATTCCCGCACTCAAAAAATATTCGCAAACATTCGGCGAATATTCCAAGATATTCTCTAAATATTCGCAAAGTATTCGAATGCTTTTTAAATATTCACAAAAAGAAGACGAAAAAGAAATAGACCACCACAACGTCTCCGACAAAAATCGCCGCAAGGGTTTCCCGGATCTCCTTATCGGTTTCGCTTCGTCATATTCTTCCAAAAGATTGGCCACATGCGGGAGGCCTCACCGGTCTCCACGTGGCGGCTTTTCGATAAAACCGCGCGCGCCTCCATCTGCTTCCACTTCTTTCATTTCGCGAGACACGCGAGAGAGGTCGCCGCCGTCTGGTTGTTTCACGTTGGTCGGCTTGTGCTTCCCTGGCTTGGCTCGTCTTTGTTCCAGTTTGGTCGGTCTGTGTTCTTCTGGCCTGGCTGCTCTTGTGTTCTACGTCTTCGCATGTGCTCCCCTCGTGTGCTCCTGCCGTGTGTCTAATCTCGGTGCCGTGGCGCGTCGTCCCTCTGGCGGCCGTATGCCGCCAGGGACGAGGGGGCAGAGGGTTGCCCTGCTGGGCTGTTCGCGCTGGATTATGCGGCGCACACCACGCGCCCACCAGCGCAGCGTGGCGCGTCGTCCCTCTGGCGGCCGTAGGCCGCCAGGGACGAGGGGGCAGAGGGTAGCCTTGCTGGGCTGTTCGCGCTGGATTATGCGGCGCACACCACGCGCCCACCGGCGCAGCGTGGCGCGTCGTCCCTCTGGCGGCCGTAGGCCGCCAGGGACGAGGGGGCAGAGGGTTGCCTTGCTGGGCTGTTCGCGCTGGCTTATGCGGCGCACACCACGCGCCCACCAGCGCAGCGTGGCGCGTCGTCCCTCTGGCGGCCTACGGCCGCCAAGGACGAGGAGGCAGAGGGTTGCCTTGCTGGGCTGTTCGCGCTGGATTGTGCGGCGCACACCACGCGCCAGCCAGCGACCACCAGCGCAGCGTGGCGCGCCGTCCCTCTGGCGGCCGTAGGCCGCCAGGGACGAGGGGGCAACGCGTGACCATCTCGCCCCCCGCCCCCCTTGTACAAGGTTAAATGTTTGCGCGACTGTGGACCCATATAACGAGCCTGCAGCAAAGAATGCGCCCCCGGACTGTGCCCAACAATGTAACCTTGTACAAGGGGGGCGGGGGGCGCGGGGTACAAGGGGGGCGGGGGAATGCTCCTGACAGGCGGCCGCGTAACTGAAGGACTAGCCCACGCCCCATCGTCCCTGGCGGCCTTCGGCCGCCAGCGGGACGATGCGCCAGACAGGGTGTCTTGCCAAGCTTCTGCGGCCTTCCCGGAAGGTGTTCGCGATTGAAGTTACCCCCATTGGCCTTCTTCGTGTGCATGTGCTACATATACCGGGCGCACTTCTGAGAGCTACAGGCGCACAGGCTTAGCCTTTCCCGTTAATGGTGTCCCAGACTCTTAAAAAGGAGGGCGGGCCCGTGTCTGATGGTGTCGCCTGTCGTCTCATTCGGTTTGTATCGGTAGCCGGAGGGATTNGTCTGATGGTGTCGCCTGTCGTCTCATTCGGTTTGTATCGGTAGCCGGAGGGATTGCAGAGGAGACGGGCACGCCGAGCGAGCGGCGAAACCGATAAGGGAATGGCGGAAGCATCTGAACAGAGCCCGGAAAGACGGAGGCGAAACCGATAAGGAAATGGGAAAAGGAGGGAGACGAACTGCCTGGCCCCGCGGTCTAGGGACTAGCGTGCCAAACTGTGCAGAAAAGTGGCAAAATATCGAAAACGGCCCAGGAGCACCGCTGTCCCTTAGCGGTTTCGCTTAAGAGTTTCGCGAGGCGAGGGCTTGGGCATGCTCGTCGAGTTCTGCGATAAGTTCTTCTCGTGGGGCTATCTGGGCGAGCATATGTCGGCACGCTTCTCATTAGAAGAGAAAGCGTTGAAGTTAAGTTTGGCGCTTTCTTTTTTAATGAGAAGTGTATCGACATGCGCTAGCGCAGATAGCCCCAGGAGAAGAACTGATCGCAGAACTCGACGAGCATGCCCAAGCCCTCGCGTCGAGTTCCACTCCCGCACGGCACGAACTGGGTGCGCAGTCTTGCATCTTATTTCAAAACATTCACGCGAAAACAATTCCAGGACTCAGAGAATTGCTTTCAAATATTCGGCCAATATTCCTAAATATTCTCCGAATGTTCTCAAATATTCGCAAAATACTCCCAAATATTCGCAAAGTATTCAAATGCTTTGAAATATTAACAAAACAAAAAAGGAAAAGGCCACCACGTCGTCTCCGGCAAAAATCTCCGCAAGGGTTTC